TAAAGTGCTTGTTCGCATCCAAATTACTTCTGAAGTGACAGCTGCGTCGGATTCACCAACATCCACCTATGAACACCTCATTTACATTTTATTGACATAGAAAATGAATCTGTATTTGGGTGGAAACTCCCTCTGAACTTCCAAATGTGGCCAAAATGGGTTTGGTGTTATGACACGTGAAAGCGTGAGGGAGAGAGTGAGGACAAAGTCAGGTGGAGCGTCTACACACTGCAGCTGTTTTACAACTTCAGCAGTGATTTCAAATGTGCAAACTCACATGAACACTACATTTTTGTCATATTTATCACGCTCCAAGCACAGACCCGGGGTAAACAGTGAGGGAGGGAGGGCTGGGGTAGGGGAGTGTAAGAGTGAGCTCTGGTCAGGGGGGTGATGGAATGAATGAATTTGAATTTTTTGTTGCATTATCAGAGTAATAATCTTCTAAAACAGTAGACCTTTTGTTCTTATGAGGGCTCCTGACTGTTCATAGGATTTGTTCTGCCAGAACTTTGTTCTTCAGTTAAGAAAAAGATTTGTGAATACCAAAAATGTTCATGAGAAGGCTTTAAGTACAAATCTGTTTGTAAAAACGTTTCATGAATGAGGCCCAAAAGTACAACATTAAACTTTTCTGACTTGCTCTGAGTCAGTTCCATCTGTTTTTATTGCTCAGAAAGTACTTGTATTCTTACTGTGAGCAGGGTCGCCTCTCTGCAGATCTGACCTCTGAACTTGGCCTTGTTCTGTCATTAGCTTGTCTCCATGGATTTCTTAAAAGTTTAATGCCCTACTGCAGAACATTCCAGACAAAGCAATAACATCTCCATGAAAACAATCAACTTGAATGTCAGTTTAAACTTTTGATGCTTGGTAGTTTTTTATTTGTGACAGTGGATGTTTCAACAGCATTTTTTACACCCAGTAATAAGAAAGAATAATACACAACAAAGGACAAAAAAAAGCAGAATAACTCATAAAAAGTGTTTGGAGAGACATTTGGTCATATTTCAGGACAGACTGTCCGTTTTTTTCTGTGTATAATCTGTCATGAGATTGTGCACACAAACTGAAAATGATCTTGTGAGATTTTTTTCCCATGTTTTCACATTTGGATTGGATACAAAAGTGGAGTTAGGTTCCTTTTGAGTTACATTTTTGAGAAGCTGCTTCCCTAAAAGCACTGCTACAATGACAGCAGAATTATTCAATGAAGTAAATCAAAAATGGCAATTCCAAGTATTGGGAACTGAATTGCACAATTTATTTATTATAAAGAATGTCAAAAGCTCATCTTGTCTTGTTCTCGTAGTTCTAATGTCATGTCTCGTCTTGTATTGTGGAAACTCTATCTGTCCGACCCCTTTAACAGATTCACAGATTTTTTTTGACTTAACGACTGAAATGCAAAATGTCGTTCTTAATGAATTGCCTCGATAGTGGATCATTTTGGTGTAATTTTGGATGTTACCCTTGGATAGACTCCCCTAATTGAAGGCGTGCTTCCTCTGTTGCCTCTGACACACTGGGGTTTCTCTCTGCAGACCTGCTCCACTTTCCGACCCACTAATTTGACGGGTTTTATATTAGAGCCAGACACCAGCTCAGAGTTGATCACAGGTTTAGGCCGAGCAGGTGTGTGAGTCTGAACCGGGGGATTATGAATGTGACTGCAGATGTATCACAGGCTGCATTTACATTAGAGCCACAGTCATTCATTAAGTAATCGTGACTAAATCATAAATACATTTAGTCCTGAGTAATTGTTTGTTTACTTTATGGTATAATGGAAGTGCTTTTTCTTGGCTGAGTGCTGAAGACATGTCCTGGGTTTTATATAGGAGTCATGTCCCGGGCGTTTGGTGTGTTCAGTGTTAGTCCCAGGTGTTTAGTGCCAGCAACTATAGGCACTAGGGATGGACATGATTAGTCGATTAATCGATAATTGATCATTAAGAATTTCATAAATTACATAAATTTTTAATCGACAAACCAAATGTAGGTCGCTGTGCGTAGTGTAGGGTGACCAAATGTCCATTTTTCCCCAGACATGTCCTTTTTTCACCTCCTGTCTTGGGCATCCGGGTTTTTTTTTTTTTTTATAAAGTGATGTAAATGTCCGGGTTTTCATGATCTTCCATTGGGCCATTAAATTGAGCGGCTCTCGTAGCTCAGTGAGCAGACACAAACAGTCGGTCAGCCTGCAACATGCCGAAGCGCAAATGCACATTTAACGATGACATGTACAAGAAATTCTCCGCTTTCTGTCCCGGTTGAGACAGGTGGGAGGCCATGTGCACAGTGGAGGTGTCAGGGACCTCAAAACTCACCAGGACACTGAAAAACATGAAAAAGCTTTGCCAGGTGAGAAGTCGCTCAATGTCGATGAAGAGTCCCCACCTCCCTCCCCCCGTACGGTGTCCTGGTTTTCACAAACGCAAATATGATCACACTAACCTGTATTCACCTGAGTCATGTCCTTTAATCTCACAGAAGTTGAACCGCATCAGCGACACAAGAGCTGTTCTTTCTTCGCTTAGTTTATGCAAATTAAACTTTGCACTTAACTAAACTTAAAACATGTGGTTTTAGTTTAGTTACTGTAAGACTTGCACAAATCTGCATTAAACACATTATAATGTCAAACGGGCTGATGTGGCTCTAGAGTGGTTACAGTTTATATGTCATAAAGTTGAATTTATTTATGCAGATTAGTAGTGCAGATAGTAATAATGATGATAATTTTAATATAAAAACATTAATGATTAATCAATAATTGATCGTTAATTCTCCTTGATGATCGAATGCCCATGCCTAATAGGCACACTCATGTCCTGGGTGTTTGGTGCTGGTCACTATAAGCAGAGTCATGTCCCAGGCGTTTGGTGCTGTTTGTATAAACCAGGGGTCTCCAACCTGTAGACAGACTTGTGTCCCGGGCATTTGGTGCTGGTTACTGTAGGCAGACTCATGTCCCGGGCGTTTGGTGCTGGTCTATAGACAGACTTGTGTCCCGGGTGTTTGGTGCTGGTTACTGTAGGCAGACTCATGTCCCGGGCGTTTGGTGCTGGTCTATAGGCAGAGCCATGTATGTGGTCGGTCCAAGTGCCAAGATTCCAGTCATTCTTGAGCGCTGCTGTAACTGAGGCAGCAGGAAGTGCTCAGTTTGGACCCAATGACCCGAGAGCCTGGAGATAAAACAGCTGGTCCAGTGGCACAGATCTGGGTTTGAATCTAATGTGATGAAAATGTAAATAAGTCATATGGAAACTCAACGAGACAATTAAAGGGAGGAGACAGATTATGTTTATAGAAAGTATTTATCTCAAATTTCATAAACATAACCTTTTTATGTCCCTGCATATGAGGCAAACATGTTCATATCATATATTGATTTTACTGAGAACAAATATCATTTTGATGTATTCATAATTACAAAAATGTCGTACATGATTGACAAGTTGTTGTCATTTGGTGTTTTGATTCCCAAGACAATTATTCAATCAGAAAGCAGAATCATTTGTGTTGCCACAGTTCTGGTACGACTAAAAGAAGTTGGTTCAGACCCATGATTTTCAGCTTTTGTCTTTTTAGCAGAGAGGTTTTCAGCCAGTCTTTAGTCTTTAAAAGCATGACCTGTTCAGTCTTCGATGAGCCCTGGTTTGAGCCTCGTTTAGTCCAGATATAGTTTGAATTTTTTGTCCTGTCCTCACAGTGTGACATTAAACAGCTCTGCTTTACATTTATTCCCTTACAGGTGGTTTAGTAGCTTGAAAATACCTAGAAAAACAGACATTCTGACTGTGAGCGGGGTCGCCTCTCCACAGATTTGACCTGGAACTTGGTCTGGTTTGGTTTTATGAAGAGGAAGAAATATTTTTAAAGAAATTGTAATCAATCACATTTCTGAATTCTTATGGACTGCAAAAATAACAAGTTTTATTATTATTTAAAAGACTTAGAACTTAGAAAAACTTAGGAACTTAGGGAAATGACTAAGACACAGTGGCTTCGACATCACAATAAATATAATACCAAAGAAGAAAAAATATAAGTGATAATAATATAGAATATGGATCGTGTGGAAAATGTTTTTTAACCATCCATTTTGTGTTTTGTCATTGTAGGTGGACAGCTGTTTTTTGTTCAAAGACGCCATCGCCGTGGGTTACTCTGGACTCGGCCGCAGCTCCATGTCCCACCTCCACAACGGGGACCTGGGCCTTCTCCGCCACGGACCCCCCCAGCTCTCCCCCCAGCTCCCCCTCCGCTCCCCTGCTTCCCCAAACAGGAGCGTGTGGAGCTGGAGAATGGATACCCCGGAGAGCGCCTGGAGAGGTACACCCGGCACCTGGACAGTAAAGAACATTAAACAACATCCACTTACAATGTGGCAAAACACACCTCATCCATGCATGTTTGAGTAATCTAGCGATCGCTCCCAAACACTCCTTAAGATTAGCAGTAAGATTCATGGATTTATAATAAAAACTCCAATTCATCATAAATATACAAAAACATGATACACATATATTGATGCACTTTGTATCCTGATGAAAAGTCAGTTTGCTGTTTGTGCAGAATAATGTCTCTACACTGAACGCTGTGATCAGAACCTTTTATGTTATGAATTTATGAAGCGCCTGGAGGATTCACAAAATGAAATTCTAAATGTTTTGATGACGCCAGAGCAGAGCAGTGTCAGGTTTATATAATATATAATATATAATATATAATATATAATATATAATATATAATATATAAGAGCTTTACTGAGATATAACTGCTTTGTGTCTTTTGTCTGTTTGGAGTCTGAAATTAAGCCTGATTGATTGTGTCAGTTTTTATTTCTATATCCTCGTTTATCGTCAATATTTCTTTAGCAGTTTATCCCATTTGTAAATGTGTTATGGTGACAGGCCGCTGGAGAGGGGACTAGGGCACAACGGTTACCCCAGAGAGGCTGCAGCGCGTGGGGCAGAGGAGCAGCGCCTGGGACCCCCCTCCCTGGAGAATGGCTGCGGTTCACCCAGAGAGGAGAAGCCCGAGGTGGGGAGAGACGAGGACGCCATGACCCCCCCGAGGAAAAAACGTGGAAGACGGAAACTGGAGCGGCCGACCAAATGTGAGTTACAAATTCTGCTTTTTATATTAAGGGTGCAATGCCGAACTTTTCTGGTGGATGGTCTTCTAGCTGCTTGTCTCCGTGGCTGATGTTACCACATTTACCAGGACGTTTTGGAGCATAGAATTAGAGACAACAAACATGAGTCTTCTCTCAAACAGAAAACACTCTAATCCATGTATCATTTGTTCATTTGTCTTTCAAAATAAAACCAAAAATAAGAAAACAAAAAAATAACTATTTCTTTCATTAGTTTTTCTCCAAAACCAATTTTGTCTTTAAATGAATAAAGGATAAGGATAATAACCATTTTCCGTTTCAGTGACTTAAAGTGCGATGCACCTCGTAGGGACTGAACCAGGATTGAAGCAGGACTAAAACAGGACTAAAACAGGACAGTGACCACAGGTGAAAGGACCGGTGCAGAGCTCCACACCTCGCAGGGCTAAGCGCAGCTGTCACCTGATCGTGCTTTGTAGACATCCTGTTTGACAGGCTCACGGTTCTCTCACTCTCTCAAGTCCTGGCTTAGACCTAGTTCAGTCCTGGTTCAGTCCTGGTTCAGTCCTGGTTCAGTCCGTATGAGGCTCAAAAGTCCGGCATCGCAGTTTAAGTCACTGAAACAGGAAACTGCCATTATCCATTTTTCCATTATTCATTTAAACACAAAACTGAAAACTGAAAAAAACAAATCTTTATTTATTTTTTCATTTTGGTTTTGGAGATAAATAATGAAGAAAATAGTTGTTTTTTTTGTTTTTCTTATTTTTGGTTTGATATTGAAAAATAAATGAACGAATGACACATGGATTCACTCTGTTCCACCTTGTGATGTCATGTGGTAATACAGGAAGCGCTCCACTGTGTTTTGGATGATTTCAGCCCTGCAGTCTCTACTGGACTAAAGGTAAAAGGAGCTGTTCATTTGAAAACTACCACTTCATGACATCACAAGGTGGAACAGAGCGTTTTGAAGTTTGGAGATGCAGACAGACTAATAATGCAGAGTTACTCAAACATGTGAATGAAACAAAACACAAGTCCCGGTCTGTTTTTGAGGAGGAAACATTGGAACATGGCTTAAAGCTCACAAAATCCATTGTGCATAATTTAGTGTAGAAACTTTAAGCTTTGTTTTGCCAGACATGTGTGTTGCAGCCATCATCTCGTGGTTACAACAAAGTCAAAGACGTTCTATTTCTGCGTTCGAGCCTTGCCTCAGTGACCTTTGCTTTGTTTATCTGCGTGTGCTTCAGCCTCGGGTCTCAAGATCTTTTTATGTGCAGTTCGAGTGTAAGTCAGGAAGGAGCATGTGACCAGTGTGAAAGTGTGATGTGGTGTGAAAGCGGCACAGAGGCTCTGACTGAAGGAAAAACAGTCTGTTAAACTTCTAAATGAGACCATTCTATGGGGGCATTCACACCTGGCTTTGTTGAGTCGTGGTCTGTGCCCCGTTTAGTCCAGATATAGACTTGTTTTGGTTCTGTTAAGTCCTGTAGAATGTGTCAACAGAAATAATGTCTTTGCAACCAGAGATCAGGCCGGATTGCAAAGACTTTTTATTGTATTGGTAATCAGCCTTAAATCTCCAAATGAACACATTAAAGATGCATTGTGTAACTTTTCTGATGGAGGAGCTTTCATCTGCTTGTTTGTTAGACTTTAGACTTTAGACTTTTAGACAAACTTTATTGATCCACAAAGGAAATGATGTGGACACTGTAGTTCACACAACATAATATAATACAATATGATATAATATAATATCATATCATATCATATAATACAATACAATAACAAAGAGAAACAAATATAAATGGTAATATTAAATTCTAAGTAAGTTGCAAAAATAGATTTATAATAAATGATTGGGGAAAATAATCAACCAAAAATATCAGTAAAGCTATCGAACATTAGTTTCTCTGTATTCAAATCGGTATCGGTATGGGTTGTTCTCTAACTGCAACATCTCTGGTCAAGACGTCTTGATTTGTTTGTGTATTTATATCGTGTTTAGAGCAGAAATTGAACCTGAAATGCAGGACTGCACTTGCAAAGTTGTTTAATTAAAACTTGAACAAAAATCATAGGAAAAGTTAACACAAAAATCTAACACAAAAATCCAAACAGACGTGACACTGACAATAAACCCACAAAGGCAGAGGAGAACACAGAGGATCTACACACACAGATGAACGAGACACAGGTGAGAGACAGGAGTGTGACACAAACAATCTATACAACAGGAAGTACAACTCCAAACGCACACCGCTAGAGAAATGACCAAATAAAACTGGGAACATTAACAACATGACAATTTCTTTGCAGAGCAGCAAGAATTCAGACTGAAAAACAAACAGAGCAGTTTGTGTGTTTTGTTCGCTGTTTTCCTGTTATACATTTGGTCCAGGGACAACTTTTCACAGCCAGGATCTGGGGCAGGAAGCTGAGGCTGGACCATGTGACTACGGCTGTTCAGCGATTAATCGCAACTAATCCGTCCATCCATTTTCTTCCATTTATCCGGGGCCGGGTCGCGGGGTCAGCAGTCTAAACAGGGACTCCCAGACTTCCTTCACCCAGGACACTTCCTCCAGCTCCTCCCGTGTGACTGAGCTCCTCACCCTGTCTCTAAGGGAGCGCCCAGACACCCTGCAGAGGAAACTCATTTCACCCACTTCTATCTGGTCATTACCCAGAGGTCATGATCACTGCCGACGCTGCACCTGTTCACCTGTCAATCTCACGCTCCGTCCTCCCCTCACTCGTGAACAAGACCCAGCAATACTTGAACTAGAACTCCTCCACTTGAGGCAGGGACTCTCCACCCACCCGGATCGATTATTGAAATAACTAGGGATAGAAAAACATCTCGTACCATCTTACGAGACAAATTTTCCACAATATCGTGCACACAAGAAAAAAATTATCTTGTGATTTTTTTTTTCCAAGTGTTGTAGATTGGGGGAAAAAAGGTTCCATGTTGGTGTGTCACATCTCTTAGAGTTCCATAAAGCAGGACTAGAATGGAAACAAAACTATGAAATCAAATAGGTAACAAAATTGTGAGGCTAAAATTGGAAACTGAACCATGAAGTGTTAGGAATTAATTAGGAATTATGTTAAAATCTCATCTAGTCTCGTTCTTTTGGATCCAACCTCGTATCTCATCTCTTATTGTGGAAATTTTGTGTGGTCCCATCCTTAGAAATAATTGTTAACTAATTTAGTAATCTTATAATAGTTAACTGGTCTTTAAACACGCCATGAGCTGAGAGAAGAGGTTTTATGACTTAGACAGAGCAGTAAAAATCACACGAGAAATTGGTACGTTTTGTGTTTTTGATTAAATTGTGGTTTCTAAAGAAGTCATCTGGACAATGCTTTGAAATCGAGATGTTTCGACTCACATCCGGAAATCATTTTGAGTCTGTCTGTTAATATATTCCATCAGGATGTCCTCAAGCGACTTCACTTCAGCATTATCTGGGTCCAGTTTAGTTAAAATATTGTATTCACAAGCCTTTCAACTAATCAATGAATCCAAAAATAATAATTGTTAGATTTGTTGATTACCAGATAGTTGCAGCTGTAAATCTGACCCGCCCAAGTATTTCACATGTTTTTGTTTGGATGATTTGGAGGAGGCCTCAAAATGACAACAATAAAAAGTCACCCAGGCTTTAGTTGAAGCTTCATTCACACATGTCGTCTGAGCCAGGAATGTTCCTGCTTTTTACCAGAACAGAACCGTGTGTGAACAGAGACGCCACTCATGTCCTGCACTTTTCATCTGTCACTTTTCAGAGTAAAAGAAGAAACTCTCCAAAGTCATTCCATGTCTTTTACTACTACTACTACTACTACTACTACTACTACTACTAATATTACTACTACTACTACTATTACTACTACTACTACTACTGCTACTGCTACTACTACTACTACTACTACTACTACAACTAACACTACTACTAACACTACTACTATACTACTACTACTAACACTACTATACTAACACTACTACTACTACTACTAATACTACTACTAATATTACTACTACTACTACTATTACTACTACTACTACTACTGCTACTGCTACTACTACTACTACTACTACTACTACTACTACTAACACTACTACTAACACTACTACTACTACTACTACTACTAACACTACTACTAACACTACTACTACTACTACTACTACTACTACTACTACTACTACTACTACTACTACTACTACTGACTACTACTACTACTACTACTACTACTAACACTACTACTAACACTACTACTATACTACTACTACTACTACTACTACTACTACTACTACTACTACTACTACTACTACTACTACTACTACTACTACTACTACTACTACTACTACTACTACTACTACTACTACTACTACTACTACTACTACTAACACTACTACTAACACTACTACTACTACTACTACTACTACACTACTACTACTACTACTACTACTACTACTACTACTACTACTACTACTACTACTACTACTACTACTACTACTACTACTACTACTACTACTACTACTACTACTACTACTACTACTAACACTACTACTATACTACTACAACTAACACTACTATACTACTACTACTACTACTACTACTACTACTACTACTACTACTACTACTACTACTACTACTACTACTACTACTACTGCTACTGCTACTACTACTACTACTACTACTACTAACACTACTACTAACACTACTACTATACTACTACAACTAACACTACTATACTACTACTACTACTACTAACACTACTAACACTACTACTACTGCTGCTGCTGCTGCTGCTACTTCTAATACTATTACTACTACTACTACTACTACTACTACTACTAACAACTACTAACACTACAACTACTGCTACTGCTACTACTACTGCTACTACTACTACTAACACTACAACTACTAACACTACTACTACTATACTTCTACTACTACTACTACTACTACTAC